GATGTGATTGACTGGCTAGATATAGACTTATTAGTCTGAGATAACTGTTTCTCTTAGGACGGAAGTCTGAACCACACTACAAATAGCATTCGTACATACATGCAATTATTATTACATGAAAAATAAACATCAATCCATGTGTACTGAGAAAATTGTTCGCTATTACACAAACCATACTTGGGATGCACACTGAGATGCGATGAAAGGACAGATATCGGTCATTATAAACATTTCTTTCTGTAATTAGTAAGAGTGCTTGATAACCGTGTTCTAGACTAGGAGGCAATGATAACACATATTAGTTTATAGATAACATGTGCCGTCTGGTACTGTGCTCCGGGTGCGATAAACCCAAAGGACTAAATAGTATGATAATGATATCTTAGGGGAATAATGTTTTTTCAGTAGTGGGGCGACATAATAACTGTATAACTGGATGAACACTATTTTCCGAATATTAGCAAGGTAGATCGTCGAAAAGGGTGGGTTGGTTTTTTTAAACAACAAGTTTGTGGCTGTTAAAAACAGCTATCTTGTAGGTATAACTATCATGCCTGCAATTGTTCCTCTAAAGAGAATAATTATGTAGTCATTGTCCAATTTTAGCCATTGGTCCTACTAAATTAATAATTGCCTTTTTGGTTATGATATTATGCAATAAATGTGATATGTTATATTTTGCAAGGGTTTAACATCAGCATATCTAAACTATCTGGTAGTTAGTGTCCCTCCGTTTGCAGTGCAAAATCTGAACGTCGCGCTTTTAGCACTCATTTAATCTGCCCACCTTTAATCAAGAACCGAACACTCGTCGCACCGCTAATCTCATCTTAGAGCTGTAGACTGTATCGTCTCATGACATACACTTGATATTTGGTCTAGCAGCGTGGTGCAGTGTGCTCGCGGTAGTCCTATACACACAAGTCACATTGGTGCGATACTATGTGAACGCAGTTTACTCTTCTTACCTACAGAAAGAATAGAGGATCAAAAAAAAAAAAAAAAAAAAAAAAACATCAAAAAAGAGAACAATAAAAAAAAAACGAAGAAAGGACAATAGCGAATAAAAGCAGGAAATGAAAACTGAGAAAAAAGGACAGAAAAAAAAAACAAGGTAATAAAAAAGAACAGAAAAAAAATGGCAACAATGGAAGAAAAGACTAATAAACAAAAAAAAACAAGCAAACAATAATACAACAGCAGAAAGGGAGGAAAAAAAAAAAAAAGAAAACAAGAAAAGCCAATAAAAGACATAAAAACGCCAACGAAAACCACAAACACACAAAAAACAACCACATACAGAGAACCAAGCCGACCACGACAACACGAGGACAAAAAACAAACTACTCAAAAACCAACAAAGCACAAAACGCCCCAAAGTAAAAGAACGAAAACAAGCAATACCCAAAAAAACACAAACAAACAGAAAGAAAAAACCCAAAACCCCCAAAGTAGAAAAGTGAACCAACAAGAAAAGGAACACCTAAACAATACGAATAAAAAAACATAAGACATAAATGAATTAGAAAAACCAATAACAAAAAAACCAAAGAAACAACAAAGGAAGTAAACAAACACAGACAAATAAAAGCACACGAAAGAAACAAAACACGCGCAACACTCACGAGAGCACCAATAAACAAAAACCAAGAAAACAAAAAAGAACAAACAAAAACCACACGTGTACTCCCACCAACGCAAACCACTTCCCTACCACAACCACAAACGCAATCTATACAAACGAAGTAAACCCACCCAAGAAATCCGACCCTCCAAACACCACCGCAAAGCCCATAACAGCAACACCCACCCCAACGCACCCTCTAAAAACCCAAACCACACCCCCCAAAAAACATAAAAAGCACATCAAACAATATATACAACCGTGCACAAGAACAACACAAAAAGCGAAACAAACACCAAACACAACAACAACATCCACGCATTAAAGACCATCCGGACCAAACAAACAAAGCAAGACGAACGAGCAAACAAAAAAAGAGACAACTACACTAGACAAAAAACAAAACAACATCAAAAAAAAACATCTAACAACAACAAAAGAACCCGAACCAGGACAGAACCAAAAATAAGAACAACCACAAAAACAATCCCAAAACCAAACCATGCGCACCACAGCAAGCTCTACACCCACCACGCCAAGCCCAAACCACCAACCAACAACCAACCCACCCCAAAGCCACACTAACCGACAAACCACCTACTCCAACAGAGCCCAAAAAAAAAAGCAACCTCCAACAACCAAATAGTACGCAACCAACATAACCCTCACAAAACAACCCAAACAAGACTCAAGACAAAAAACGAAACCCCAACCCCCTTACCCACTCTCCCCCCCCAACAACAAAAGAAAAAACGATAACACACCCCGAGAAAACAAAAAGATAAAAATGAACAAAACTCCAAACCCAAATACCGCGCAGACAACAAGTAAACAGCAAAACCAAAAAACAAGGACCACAAAGCAAACAAAAACAAGAAAGCCCCTCGCAAAAAAAAACGACAAAGAAAACCAAACAAAAAAACGCAAAAACCAAGAAAAAAACCCGCCACCACCAAAACAACACAAAATGAAGACCCCAAACAAAATAAAAATAAAAACAAAACCAAGACAAAGAAACAGACCAAAAAAAAACAACGACGCCAACAAAAAAAAAGCCAACAAAAAAATGAAAAGAAGTGTGTCTTTCAGATACACCACTGTTGAACAGATCCCGAAAGTTATTCCTTAGTTATTGTCGTCGGAAAGGAAAAGGAAGTTCCTTCTACCTATAATATTCTTATCGTCCCAATCCATTCCGCCGTATATTTTCAATGTGGTTTTAGAATATTGTGAAACAGGTGTTTCACTAACGGTTTCGGGTGTCCACTATTCAGTAATTACATTACTGTCTACTTGCAAGCGGCGTTCCCAACTTCTTTCTCTGTGCACATGACCTTATCTGTGAAACACAGTGACCTGAATTGCAGTGCTGTGTCCCATCTGTGTCCACCGGTTGACGAAATATCGGTTTGGAAGCTAACCATTCTTGCAAACAGAGCAATCAAGGAATGGCTATGTGCCACTCCATGGTGAGCGATTTCAGATTCCTCACAAACCTGCTTTTCTTATCCACTTTTATGTTCAAAATGTGCCATCCACTTGATACCAACAACTTTTTGACCATTTGCTGGAGTTTGCTAGTACTATGTACGAAATAGTGGACTTTGACGATCTAATGATAACATCATTTTCTTGAGTGCCTACTTCCGACTTAAACCCGAGCTAGAACAATATACGGCACAATATCTTACTCTAGGTTGTTTCAACCACCTTAAGCTTCGGCCACTCCCCAGGTTAATCTCTTCAGTCAACCAGCGTTTCATAATATCCACTGCGTCGCACTTTGGCACCTTGATGAGGAGTGCGCTGATGTTAACATAGATCATCGCTTCACACGAACTCATGACGGTTCTTTACAAACGTATTCGTTCACCTTGTCAACGGCTGCAATATACTAACGATTGCATATAGACCAGCAAATGCGAGCTGTTGCCAACCCGGTAACCTTATCACATTTGATGCGGTACCCTTCCGCAAAGCTCACTGCAGTACATCATGCATTGCTTTGCGGATGCTGATGTTAACCTCATCATTAAGGCCGGTCAACTGCAGTTAACAGGTAATTCGGCTACACCCACCGACGGACATGTCTGCTAGCTTGTATGCAGCTACCTTCAGTGAAAGCAATCGATACTGTCCCATTGTGGAGCAAATGTCACGTCCGGTCGTCTGCGCACAACAGTGAGCACTATGAACGCGGATGGAATACCTCCGGTCCCCCAGTTCTGTGTTGTGTGTCTTGATACCGCTTAAGTGAGTGGGTGGGAGTTAAAGTACTTCCGCAAACCATCCATGGATGCCGCGCGCTAGTCCGCACCGCATCCTACAGTGACTGAGCTCACGTGTTGTTTTGACGTCCGCGTGTGTCTCACGTGGTTTGTTCCCTGAGCGCAAAATCTAACCGCTGCACCAACCGATGCAGGTGTTCTGAGTACTCGTGCATTGATTTGCAATTGGTCTAGACGATGAGCACGCATTTGTGCATATGCGCCACTTTAGATTCAACTTGATGTGCTTTTGGATTGAGTTGAAGATTCTTATGGGGAAAATGGTTTGCTTAAGTAGGAGCTTGCTTCCCTTATGGATTCAATTGACTCGGAAAACGTATGTACGTCAGGTTCTTCTCCGCCAATAAGTGAAAATGGTGAAAATCCTCAACGCAGGAAATGAAGTCCCTTATAAGTGAAAGTGAAGTCCACAAACAACCTGGAATTAATGGCTTGTATGGTGTGGCATTAGCGTGTTCTGTGGTCATTGGTAGTCACAGCACCGAAACAACGGAAAGGTCAGAAAATGTGTGAAGTGTTGATTACTGGACTCTAGCGATCGATTTATTTCATGAGCATGAACACAATAAAAGAGGAAGGTTCGTACGCCAGTGGTAGTGGCAGATGTCAACCGCAAGCCCGGGACATAATCCGGTTGCGTAGACAAGAGTAAAAATCGCCTTTTACCCACTAACAGTTGCTCAAACTGACTAAAGGAGGCGAGAACAAAAGCCAATGATAGAGAGACTGAGGGATATCAGATTTTGATAGTTGCCACAGTGATGTTATGATTTGTTGCGGCATCACATATGACGTCACCAAGGCGTGCAGTACAAAAGAGAATACTCCAGGTAGGCTGGCTAGTGGGCTCTGGTGCGCTGGTGACAAGATCTTCAGGTATACGGGATCGTATTTACGGCACTCACAGAGATCATGCTCAAGAGCATCGATTATAACCAATGATCGTCGACATCGCGTCAACAGAGTGTGAAAGGGTGCTGGCCACAGTTAATGATAAACGACAGCAGTAGCTGCTATGGTTCGGACCATCCATGATCAGAACACAGAAAGTTATAGTAGATTGGAAATATGCAAACCTGAAATCTTACCACGCAACTCGATTACATTAAATAAAGCAACCGATGTGGCAATAACCAAACTTTGGCCAACTTCCAAACCGTTGATTCCGGCGTATATATTGATCGCGTTGGTGCAAAAGACGGTCAGAAGGCCCATGTAAACGTAGTAGAAGAAGCCTAAAAATGGAACAAGCAGTAAAAGTACACAATTGATGATGGTTAGTGAGCGGAGAAAAAGGCAGTCTGGCATTGTTAGTTATATAAGTGATCTCAATTTAGCATTAGGTAATAGTGTCAACTACTTTCGACCAGCAAGAAACAACGCTGCGTTATAAGGACATGAAAGAAGATAAACGGAATTATGCTTGAGAGGTATGTACTAATCTTTGGAGCACCAAGCTCTTACACCAAATGAAGATCCAGGTGTTAAACGATAGAAGTAGGCAGGTGATTAGGTGAAAGAGATCAATGATTCTGGGCTTCGTGGTGTAATAGGGGCATCAACAGACGTGTGCGGTCACGTACCCACTCGAAGGGAAAGCACTGCATGCCGTTAAAGACCTGCGGGGTAGAATACGCTATACGTGATCTAGGCGGAAAACGGTAGATTCAATTAGTCTTAAGGCCGATTCGCAGATGACTCAGTTGAACAGATCAGAACTAGAGTGGTCAGGGTAGACAGGAGTAACTCTACACCATAATGGCCCATCGTATCAAGGGACGTGCGCTCTCACACGGTGGAAAGCAAAGTGGTCTAAGATCCTTGCAATGCATTATATAACACGGTGCAGATAAATGTTAGACGACCGTGAATCAGTGAGGTCTATTCACTCGAAGATCAATGAGTAAAATAGATGCGTGTGAACAGTTTGGAAGCAAAGGTGATCTTTGCAAAACACTCTTTGGTAGTTATTAGAGATGGAGGTGACAGATGACAAACGACAGTTACAGGGAAAATTACTCGCGTCAAACAGCGCTGGACGGAGCACTCGCCAGCGAACTATAGCTAGCCTTTAGCAGCAGGGTCAGATCGCATTAATGGTAAGAATTGTTACAGCAATGTTCAGGGCAGTTTTATAAATCCGATAGAATTGCACTTAGGATTATTCAGCCCAGCGCCCAAGCTAGGCTAGGAATGAATTAGCCGTACATTCTTGCCAAATATTGCCTCATTCACGGTAGATTTTTTGGACTCCGTAGTCGAATGAGTTGGAATATTGATATGGTCTTCTCAATGGCGCTGACCTCCAGCTAAAGGGCCCTCGCCATCTAGGAACTTTTGCGGACAATCCAGAGGCTACTGGTTACACGTCTTAAAGTGTAGAGAACATTTTTGAAACCGATACCTCGATGAAACGATTATGCATATTTCAATCAGTCACCGAAACTCCGGAAATCCGTCAAACATCCAGACGCTGCAAAAGTTGCGAACAAGTGACGTTGAATGCGTCTTGCATTGTACACTGATGATTCATGTCCCCATTCAACTGGTCCACCTCATTAGCCAGTGACAACTGAGACTGTAATTCAGAGTAACACTGTTGCCTTGTGTATTGAAAACACATCTTGACGAGCAGGCATTTGCCCAATGGAGCACTTCGCCGAAGACGGAAGGGTGGGTGCTCTGTAAGAACGCACAAGGGGATGTTCGGAATCGAGACAACTGTCCTGAATCTACCGATATCACCGTACTGAAGTGTGCCATGATGGATATGGGTTCAAGTTGCAAGCAGGATATCTTACAGTTGAGTGATAACTGTGCAACTTGCAACAAAAGGACGAGATCGGCACTCAAAGAGGAGAGCGGTCGCTGATAAACCCTGACTGAAGTGATATCCTGGCTATGTTTAATAACGGACCAGATCATTCATGTCATCCGCAATTCGGGCTGTACCCAGCACCTTTGGTTGTTGCTTAGTCACTCCTATTCAGCTTCAAATCGAACTGCACACATGTGGAGTGCCATAATTGGCTCTGGAGATATTTGGAAAATTACACAGTGTGGCACAATAGATCACGGGGACACCCAAAGAAGTACATCACATCAGTGCAGTTTCGTAGTATCGTACAGATCATGTCTGTCAGTTGAATCTGAAATCATCATCATTTGTAACCTGATCGCGGGGACTGATGTACAACGAACCTACTATAAGCAGATACAGTGATATTCAAAAGCGCGTTTGTGATAATTATGCAACATGAACAAGCAATGAATCGATTCGGCAAAGGTCGCACAAATGGTATGTTTAAAAACAGGATAAAAGCATCTCAAAGATAGCACGTAAGCAGTAGATTGTTGCATATCTGGTTCAGTAAGAACATACCATATTATGGTAGATGTCAGAAGCTGACGCACCGAACAGAACCACCGAGATTCGGTAAACTGCTCTGGATACTACTATACGCCCTCAACGGAACACCATGGAAATAGCCATAGGTGAAAGAGGGTTCCATTAACAAGCACACAGTAAAAGTGACTCACCAATATCGATCGTGGCTCCAAGGACGGAGCGCAGAAAGGTAGGAATAACAATAAGCGTTGTGCCATCGTTTGTTAAATAGACCATCAACAGTGGAAGAGAGGCTATAGATGGAAGAAGACACTTGTGCCGCCAGGGAAGATCGAGTGCATCGTCCGCAAATCCGAGGAACACCATGCAGCATATGCACAATAACCCAGCAAGGTAGCCAATGAACTGATGGGTATGTCGTGAGAAGATAGCACACTCACTTGGCTCTTAAAGTGCAACTGTTGCTCAATGGATTTATCGAACGGTCCCATCTGAACTTTAACATTAATGGAAAATTGTAATTACAGTCCATGGGAGCGAGTTGTTCCTGTCGAAAAGGAATTGCCAAAACGGCACAGGTATGAACAAGAACATTACAGTGATAAATACCGCACCAGCGAGGACGCCTTGGGCTTCGGGACTGATGAACTTAGCGATATATATGAGTGTACACTTACAGAGTGGGTTTCCCGGGTTTGTGAACGTCCACGCCGGAGAATCCAGCGCGTAAAAACTCAGCTTTATACGCACGAAACATACGAAGCAATATGGAGCAGAAAATAGCAGAGACAGCAACGAGTATGGTAATTTCCAAAATATGCCTGTATGAGGACAGGAAGCATTCCTGGTCCTTGTGATTGCATGAAAACATAGTGCCTGGGGTCCGGAATGGGTAATAAGCTAGAAATCTGCAACGATGCAGTGGTTTTTGATTAGGGAAAACAGAGACAAAAAACAGACACTAGCACCATGGTAAATATGCCAGGATGTATCCTGGGTTTACAAAATGTACAACGGTCAAGCTTTTCAATTAGATGATGATAAAAGGAATCCGAATGTGTGATTACGAGAGTCTTAACATTCAAGTAAACTATATGATGTGTTCCCTTATTGGACCTCCGAGACACCGATAAAAGAATGGCCGATAACTAGAAGTTGAAAACATCCTAACAATCATTCACCTTGGCGGCTGATGTTTATAGCTACTAGAAAAGCAACATCCTACAGAGCAAGTCAGTCACAGATAGTCGGTAGTTCGGAGAGAGCATACTAATTGACAAAATGTTGGTCGTCGTATAGTACTACTAGACTGCTTCTATCCAACTGAGATGGCCCGATCGTGTCCTACACATGTCATGTGAACGTTAACCATACGGCGTTACCTTTACTTAAACACTTTCGCATGGAAAGAGACAGCGGTGGTCAGCAGTCCTATTTGGCGATAAAGTAAAGAAGTAAAAATGTTGTTTATCCAACCTTGACTCGGTCACGGTCCCAAGGACGAGGACCAGTGGCCAGAACATGTTGGGAAGTTGCAATGAGACCAAATTGAGTAGTGTAAACCTTTGTATACTTGATAAATGTAGAAACCATTGAAAAGAATAATGTAAAAATAAAAAAATTCGGTTTTTTAATCGAAGTTGCCAGCGGTACACTGTTGTTTATAACAGAGGCTTCCCTACAATACAACTGCAATCGGTAGTACTCGGAATGGAATGCCACTAGGTCGCCCAAATCTAGGCGGCAGGCGGGCCCGCCGCTGAGATGCATAGGTTACAAGTTGGACCCTAAAACCAAAAAATTCATAGTGTCTGTCTGTCGGTCCGTAGCCTAGAGGAAACGAGCTTGTCCGTAACCTAGCGGCGCGGGTTCGAATCCACGTAGGGGTGGGCGTTCTCGTGGTATACTCAGCCAAGGTGTGACTGGTGGTGGTCGCACGGAAGCGAAGCACCGTCACGGCGTACAGCTGACACACTTTTTAGGAGTTGGGGCTTCACATCACTTCCGTAGACTGCTGATTAGACAACAAAATAGTTATATATATATATATATATATATATATATATATATATATATATATATATGCGCGTGTGTGCGGGAAATTCATGCGGCATACAAAGTCATTGCGAGTTGACGGTGAGTCGTAAGCGTGTTCATGACGTAAGGTCTTCGTTTACTTCAAGCGGTCTGATCAGCGATTACACATTACAGAGCTGATACACCCTGGAAGCCTTCCTTTGTCACTGGCACATCGAAGGTTCACGTGATTTCGTGGGTCGTAAAATTCAAAGGTAGGGGATAAACTACCGCTAATGTAAACTTAAGCCTATCATCTAGCGAGAAGAAGCGCGTGCCCATGGTAGGGTACGCAGCATATGAATGTACAGACTACTGAGACAGTCTGTGAGCTAATTTTACTACACATTGACAGGGAGTATCCCGTCCACAGCATATATAAGCTGGAGAGGAAACAAGTAGGGTGAATGTGCGTGAATGCATTCGTTCAGTACAGTTTAGCTAGGCTGTGGTTTGGGCATTGAAATGAGATGGTTCCCGTTGCTACGACTCACATCGCCAAGACAGTAATAAACAGCAAATGGGAGAAAAGTGAGATAGAATGCAGAGAGCGGGTTGAGAAATAAGTAGAAATAATCGGGATGGAATATTAGAAACCAGATGAAGAAACGCGAACGTAGTAGCGCCATCTACTGCATGTTAACGCCGCGTCCGACAAGGGCGTTAGCCACTCATTTGGCCAATCCCAGGACCATCATCCAAGAAAACGACAAGCAACAGCCTGATCAAACCTACCGAAGAATTTTTTCTCTTCTCTATGCCACATCATCGAAGGATCACCTTTGGTTTCGCCCAAATTAGTCCAGTGATAACATGTAATGCAGGCCAGGTGTGACGGTCAACGCGCATATAGAAGAAATGAGGGCTAATGTAAGCGGTTCGAGATTAACAGACACTAGTGAGGCCCAAGGGACCCGTTCCCAAACACCAACTAGCGGACTTAAGCAGGTGAAGTGGGAAACCAATTGACAGGGTAATCCAAAACCCAGATAAAACTATAGCAAAACATTCGCATCACACTATTACGAACTAATTGCTGCCCATGTGGAGGTTACGCGGAGTATAACAAAGGAAATAGTAAACCCAGAAGGTAGAAAGAGGGTGTTCATTTCAAAAGCCTTAGTGCCAAGGTAAAAGATAAGGTTTAAACAGGAAGACTGAAAGCCGAAGAAAGGGGTAAGTTATGAGAATGAAAAGGTTTAGTATTGCCAACAAAGAGCATAAAGCGGACGAGCAAAAACGTCAACCATCGATTCCTTGAAAGTATGCGATGCAACGGACATCCAGTGCGTGATACCACCGTGTGGTAAACGAGTTTCTGTCCTAATCCAGTTGTAGTGTGATTGGTACAGCTCAATAGGGTGACCATGAAGACTATCTAACTTAATAGCGCTTAATAAGTAGGACAGAAAGAAAAATGAAAGGTATTGGCAGTATGTCAGTAGCTGTACCGATGCTTCGCTGCCACCACCAATCACGTGTGGGCTAGGTGGTGCTTCGATGTCGCCCACATCAACGCAGGTTCTAACCAGTGACCTTCGGATTACAAGCCAGGGGGGCTTGAATTGATCGGCAAACGGTCAGCAGCAGCCATTACAAGTCCCAGCCCATCTCACCCATCCCCTCTAAGTTTTAAATAGCAAACTAGGCAGACTATCGAACGGGTAATAACCTAGTACCCCGTGGTTGAACCCTCTCCAGTCCTATTCTATCGTGGATAACGCATCGTGAACATGACTGGACACAGTATTCCGGGTGGGGTTGCATGAAAGCCGTGAAAATATTCAGACGTGCTGTACACTGAAACTCCGGATTGGCGAATAAAGCACTATACGGAACTATCTACAGGGAACCTTCTCCTAATTTCCACTGGGCCGTACTGTGAACGACACTAAGATCCACTTGTTTGACCACAAAAGTGACTGCACACCCGATTATTAGGAATACCTCCTAAGGAATGGATCCCTGAACCGTAAACGGATATTATTCAATCCTTTTCAGAAATCCAGCAGAATAATAGCATTGGTCGATAAAAAGAATGTTCTCGGATAATCTAAGACTACTATTGGTAAGTAAAGAACAGAAGAGTAAGGCAATAAGTAAACAATAGCAATGTTACCACAAAATCATTAGACGAATAGTTTGCTTAGGTTGCGAACAGTAATGGCACGACAACGTAGCCCTGCATGACACGGCAAAGAACAGCTCCCTAAGCGAGGAAGTGAAAGCGACAAGGAAGCCGATGTCAACATATCTTTGCACGATAGTTGATGGTTTCATCATCATCATCACCATCAACAGCAGTATATCAGCCCTTTGAACTGGTGCTTCGCCGCCGTACAATCCCAAGAAATACGAAACAAAGAACAACAAAAGGGAGAGAGTGGGGACTTAGCGTAAAACCTTAATACCATAAGGTAACATTCAAGGTCAATGCGCCTACAAATTGCGCCAACAACACACCGTCGCAAACATATGGATATCGTGCAAAGACAAAGTCCAGCGCCATAATCAGCATCAAACATAATCTGAACAGGCAGTTCCAACTGGAGACGACGGCAGACGCCACTGGTGTCGACTGCGAGCCATATCCTGTAAAGTCTCGAGCTAAGAACGAGGTGAGTCACGTGGACTAAAGCCGGGAAGGCGAGAGAGACGGACAGCACCAAATTTAGTCGTCGGTAACTTCAGTTCTCGCTACCAAATAAAATTTTTCCTATCTCGGGCCTTGCGCCGCCCTACATCTGGCAAACAAAACAAGGCCCTCCTCGGTAAGTAGTGACCGCGCACATGGAGTACGTCCCCAAGTTAATGAAAATTATTCAGTGCTATCTGCAGCTCTAAGGAAGCAGCATGATTATCAATACCTAGCAATCGTGAAAGCACATTATTGTTGCGGCCATGCAGGTGTCACTCGACACCAGCAATGCTCCACAGACAACGAGGATCAAAGAGTTGTAGGCACCACAGGTCCTCAAATTGGAGAGGGCCTCTCTTCCATTTAGTAGGGCGGACCTCACTGTAGTCTTGTAAACACAGCAATTTAGACCGAGGGAAAGCCCTTGCTGACACCACAGACGTCGCAGACACAAGAAGGCAGTTCTGGCCTTCGCCCATCGTTGCCAAAGCAGTTGCCAAGGTAGGTGAAGTAATCAATTGCATCGAATTCCACGTTATCAAGGGCCAAGGGGTCATCAAGTGGCTGGTGGTCCTATAGCAACCAGGCATTTTAAAGGTGAGGCGCGTGCCAAAAAATGGGATCACTCTAGAGAGGTTATTCATCGTTGAAGGGGCAGCTAAAACACGGTTGAAAACCTAGACAATTCCGTCCGCATGGTTTAGATAAACTAATATTTCACCAGGCAGCAACTCAACGCCAGCATCGTGATTCCGTAAGGGAACATCCCTTGATGGAGTTCACGACGATGTTGAGCAAAAGTGGGGCCAATGGACAGTGACGAACGCAACTTGTCGCAAGATGTGTGATAGGTCAGCGTCCAACCGGACGCGGCCTGCCGTGATGGAGTACAGGGCATGTATTTCATGGGAATACCTTCCTCCACAAGTATTTCAAACAGAATGGATCGGTCGACGGAATCGAACGTCTTCTTGAAATCGAGGAACACAGCTATTGTCGGTCTGCGGTATGTGTGGCGCTGTTCTAGCATCTACCGCAACGCGATTATGTGGTCTATACAGCTCCGTCCAGGGCGGAAGCCTGCTATCTGTTCTCTACTCCGGAATAACTGCTCCACAGTGAGGCGACGAATGATAAGTGAGGCTAGTAATTTTGTCACCAGCGGCGTTAGAGTAATACCCCTGTGGTTAGCACACTCG